TCTCTCCCGAGGCGTTGCACACCAACGGATAGATCCAGTTGCCGCCGGGCGTAACCCTGCATTCCGGACGGTCCGAACTGGTCTTGGCCATGTTATATGACCAGCGTCTCCCCATGTTGTCACGCCTGAGGTCGCCATCAAACATTCATTTGCATAAGAGAAGGACTGCAATCGTTTGACTCCTCCTGAATCGTGACCAAAGCCGAGTCGCATCTTTCGGGCGTGTCCGCCGTATATCTCCCTTAGCTACTATTACCATTTCCGTGTGGCTCGGCTCTCGTACAAAAGGGGAACCGGATGCGAATCGGCGGGGAAAAGGGAAGCCGTATACGAGTCGGCAAGGAAAAGGCTGTCAGTCTGGTTGAAGCTTTACGAGCTGGATCTAGACTTAAGAGAGAAATAAAGAGCATTCGTAAGCACATCCCGTTCACGAGCGCTGGACGAGATTCAGTTGAGAATTCTACCGTTACCGAGAATTCTACCATATAGCCCTTCACCTGGACCAGTAAGATGCCCCTGGTGTTCTACTCAAGGAGCCGTTTGTCCGGCGGAAGGGGATAGGGGGTGCCATTGTTGATTTGAATGGGCCGGAATGAGTTAAGAAACGAACATGTTTTTAAACTTTTAAAATCCCATGTTCGTCTAAGACTGTTCATTCTTTTCCAGAATCCATAAGTGAAACAAACCACATCAAAAAGTTTCAATGTTGGCACCCCAATCTATGGGCAATGTTGGGAACACGAACAGAGATGACGTGGTCTCTAAAGTCGAACAGCGTTGGCCACCGCAAGGAACACCAGGAAGCGGGACCACGTGAATCTGTCCTTTGGACAGATTAACAGTCATAGCAGCACGAAAAGCAAAGCTCCTACATTTACTCTTTCATTTACGCCACCACATTCCAACACCATTTCGCGGTCTCGTAATGACCAATCCGTTCTTATCATCAATCTAAAAATCGCACAGGTAAACTTAATGCCCAGACTACCTTCTACATCTAAGATTTGAAATCCTGAATCGTTCAAAGGTCCTTTGCTCAGAAGCGTCATTATTTTTGTCCATCCGTTAGCCACAACTCACTATTAATTGTTAGACCGACGCTGCGCGACCTGTGGAGACTGCAACGCCTGGCGTCAAGGCTTTTGTTGGTAAGATCTGCTTGCGCTTGTTCAAAACTACGTTACACAATTTTTATGAGTTATCTATTAAGTGTGGAAATGTATTTCTTTCAAAAGGGGTCATCGTTTTCGTTCACCTGTTGGCCACAACTCAATATTAGCTACCGGGCCGACGCGGCACGGCCCATGGAGACTGCAACGCCTGGCGTCCAGGCTTTTGCTGCAAATATTTGCGAGCGCGCGTGTTCAAAACTACGTTACATAATTTGTATTACTAATCGATTCTGACCAAATGTGAAAAATCTACAGACACACATGGTTTGGCCATGTGACTTCACATTATTGACCCATTTCGATCTGCAAACCGCCTTCGCGGGCTCCTTAAGACGCGCATGGGCGGGGTTTAAATGGACCCCGCCGGGGTTCCTCCGGAATGGTGTCCGAACGGCGGGACATTGCCGCGCCAAATATTGCATAGCTGTAGAAAATTGAATAGCAGATCGTGTGCTAGCAACAACTAGATGTACCTTGCAAGTTTACTGATCTACGGCAGGTCGAAGGCAGGCCATGGATTCAACGGAGTTAATTTCTTGGGAATTGTGAAATCTGGTGGAACAACCGAGTGTTAGACGGTGCCATGCATCTCTGAGATGCTTTCTTAGGCAACACAACAATTGAATGACAAAATTTAATTGACCTAGGGTCGGGTATGAGGGTCAGACTAAGGTCAAAACCAGCCTGTTGTATACTCGAGGGCTTTCTTTATGAGATAGTTTCTGGTGCTCATTTCGAATTTTTTAAAGGCAGGAACTGTATTAGACATCTACCATAGATTTCTTAAAGGTCACGATAGGTCACTGACCTAAAATGGCTCAGGTCAATATTTCGTTTTTAGGAACATCCTGCCTAGCATAATATTTGTCGCTTATTCAATTGCAAAACTCAAAGCAGTCTTCTATTACTTTGGTCACCATGACCTTTGAAAGGTCAAGCAAGTTCACATGACCTTCCAAATTTTGCTTAAGTGAGTTTACGTACAGGCCAACACAGTTTGTAAAGTTAGTGTCTCTAGCCCTCTTAGTTCCTGAGATTTCAGCTGGGTGTCAAATTGCCCCCCCCCCCCCTCACTCGAGCGAAGAGTTTCCAACCGGCCACCCGGGCATGTGTTAATATGTCTGTGGAACCCAGATAAATTTTTGACAGAGCTGCATTTTATTTGTTTAGAAGACACTGAGCCACTGTAGATTAGAGGTGCCGGTGATGTATTCCATACAGCCGTCCATCGCCTGACTTATGCAAGTTATTATTGGCTTCAAAATACAAACAGAATTGACCAGGCGCTAGCTCCTGTTTCCTGTTTCCGCTCTGGTTCCAAGGTGAAAATGAAGATAAAAGGAAAATATCCGTATCCCTTGTTAATAAGCAAGCTATATCCCGCGATTTTATTGGGGAGGAAAGATAACCGTGCGGGACTTTGCCCCTCCCCCTTACGGTTATCCCTGTGCAGCCAACACACCAACGCTGCCCCCTCCCCCCTCCTGGCAAAGCTCTGGCTAGGTCCTTGCCTACATACAAAAGCAGATCAAACCGGCTACGTTGAATTAGGGACGGTTGGGCGTCGGTGTGACCAATTTATGCCTAAGGCAGGCAGCTTCGCGTAGGTTTTAGTTCTGCAGTAGCGTGGAGGAAAGGAAAATAATTCGGGGAAAGTACTATTGCTGGTGTCCAATATATGTTTTAAGCACGTATAAATAACAATGCTGAACTATTAGCATGCTGCAAAACAGCCATATGATCAGTTCGCAGCCAGTCCTGCGGGCACAGCCGGGCCAAGGTAGTGGCTGCCGACGACGGACGGGAGCAGGGCTCAGATAAGGAATAAATGACAGGAGGAAGGGCCTTCGTTCCGAGACTTAGTTTTTTTACAGGAGAAGCTCAAGTTTTATGGTGTCTGTCATACCGTTTTTGACAGTTAGCATTTGAAGCTTCCGAATTTGTTTCTGCCCAAAAGTGGTGCCAGAAATCGTGCCTGTTTAAAAGAAGTCGGCGAAATTTAGGCGCATGAAAACTCTTGTGCTTTATGGGCTATCGATTCGCGTTCGAAATTTTGACCAGCCTGTGAGGCAGATACCTCCTCAATGCCCGAAAATGCTGATTGCCGAGCATTGCGGCACGTTAAACTTTCGCCCCTAAATTCTGGCCTTGCCTGGATTGCGCGACCAAATGTTGGGGTCAGGACTCACACAACAAGCGCAGCTTATCGTGAGCGCTGATCCTAGAAATCCTTCCATTCAAAAGAGCTCGGATCAAATCTTCAAGAAAGCCTACCCGTTCGTGGAATTTCAGCTGCCCAGGGAAAACAATCTTGGAATGAAAGAATAATCCTGGGAAGCTGGAAAGCCTTATTTGCCATATGTCATAGATGAGTCGAATAGACAAGATTGTGCACCAGCGAGGAACAGCTGTAGGTTTATATCTAGTATGGAAGCTTTTACATTTAGGTATTCCCCAAATGTGTTATGTGAATCAACACGCGCCGGGTGGCCGGCTAGATACCCTTCGCTCGAGTGGGGGGAGGGGGGTCAATTTGACCCCCTCAGATCTCATGAACCAAGAGAGCAAAATTAGAACCTAGAACCTAGAGACACAAAATTTGTAAGGTGTGTTGACCTGTACGTGAGCTCACTTGAGTCAAAGTTTTAGGTTCCTAGGTCATGACCTTTGGGTCAAAAAGGTCAAACAAGGTCAAGTTCCAGGTTGGTCTCCAAAGTGCCCCCAGAACGCAGATAACCGTTTCTAAGCAAAAGGTCACATTCTCATTTAAAGTCAGTTAAGTTATTTGAACTTTTGAAGCTCATTGTGACCAAAATGATACCAGATTGCTTTGAGCTTTGCATTTGACTAAGCAGCAAAGATTACGCTAGGCAGTATGTTCCCAAAACCAAATGTTGACCTACGTCATTTTAGATCACTGACCTATTCCGACCTATAAGAGGCCCATGGAAGATGTACGGTGCGGTTACTGCTATCAATATACCCGAAATGAGCACCATAAACTATCCCATACAGTAAACCATAGGGTAATAAAACAGGTTGGTTTTGACCTTGGTGAGACCCTTATACCTGACCTCAGGTCAATGTAATTCGCTCATTCAACTGTTGCGTTGTCTAAGAAAGCATCTCAGATGTGTATGGCTTCGTCTAACACGCCGTTGTTCGATCGGGTTGAAGGATTCCCTAGAAATTGCCTTCGCTGAAACCATGACCTGATTTTGACCTGCCATAGGTCAGTGCCCTTACAAGGTACATCTAAATTTTTTATGTCAAATGATCTGCTATGCAATTTTCTACAGCTATGCAATATTTGTCGTGGTTGCGCCCCGCTGTTCGGAAATCATTCTGGAAAAATCTTCGGAGGGCCACCCGAGCGCCTGTCAAGAGCAGGCAATAGCCTCCATCTCTATCTCCATCCCCTGGTCATCGGCGTGGAGCTTTTCTAGGAGCTTTCCTAGAAAACCTCCTGAACTATACCCTATGTCTGCCTCCCACTTTTTGAAACATTCTCAAACCTCTACGTGTTTGCAGCACATGTTTATATAATTATACGATAAAGAACATGTAGCTTGTATGATTGGTACCCTTAGAATGGTGTGACATTGCATATAGCATACTAGATGAAAAATATAACATAGAACACTACATGAACATAATAACGCGAAAAAGGGTCGAAGTGGTCAAATTTGCAGAGTCTCATGTAAATTACATGGATGACAGCTCGATTAACATAAGCATAAGCTAAAACGCGTCGGCACTCCCGTTCAGGTCAACAAAAGTCTGGCCAGCTGTTCCAGCTTTGACAGTAGCGTTGGTCCGCTGTTGCAGCCGGTACCTGTTCACAGCGCCCAAAGCCTTCGTCGCCGGCACGCCTGAGCGGGTGTGTCTGACCCTGTTCGACGTGCCCGAGACCGGCGACCTGACGCTGACATTCAAGAGAAGTGAGAGTGGCCCGACGGTCGCACAGCACACCCAGCAGGTGTCGGGCGTGGCGGGTAAGTACCGAGCCGGGGTATGGCGGCCCAGGGACTTCGTGGCCACGTGCGAGGCTGCCACTCACTATGTAGTCTGAGCTGGCGTTTGAATTGATCTCCGTTGTGGCCGACTCGAGCTTTCTGAAAATGTATGCTTGATTAAATGTCATTTTTGGGTGCACGGTGCATGCTCACAGGCTAACAATAAAGCTGAAAACCAAGGCATCTAACAAAAGCTTCTGTGCAGCTGTTATCTTTGCGGCATCTGGCCTCGCGTATTTGTGTCGGGCACAACACCGAGCTGTATATTAATGCATTTAGTAAATTTTCTGCCACCGTCTTAGCGCTGGTCAGCGATTGTAATCCCATACTGGCACTACTAAAGCACAATCGTACGCAGCACTTAACGTTATAACAGGGATTAACACCCATGGTAGCTGTTAAACTGTGATGTGAGGCCACCAATTCAAAGAGCTGATTGATTTCGTCGGACATTATGATTACCATGCTGGGCGGCTGCTTTCAGTTTCAGGCATGCATCTGCACCCCCATGGTATCTACTAACGTTTTAAGTCAGTAATTGACCTGTTCGATAGTGCCAGCGTGTTGGCAATGAATGCATCGCGTGCATATGCCTGTTTCTTATAGCTGGAGACATGACACCAGAGCAATGCACGAGCCCGACCGGAGATCTTCGGTCGCTGCTCGCTCCCTCGGCGAGTGGACAAAGTGCTTGACATCGTCACCACTGACCGATCTGAATGCACCCATCCGGTGACGGCGAGGCCAGCCACACCATCTGTTTCCATGAGCGCGCTTCCTGGCCAGGCCACCCATCAGTCGGCTCAGCGTCTTGGAGCGAAACCGGCGGCTCCTCGCGATAGCATGGCTTCGTTAAGCCCCCATCCGCCCTACGGTGTTCAGATACACGTGCACCTCCCAGGGGAAAATAGGAAACGCGCAGCAAATATGTGACTAAAACAGTCGTTAATACGATGTCGTATTTCAGGTGGATCTAAACAGACCTGCTTTGCAGTTCAACTACCAAAACAGAGGATTTATAACGCCTGGATGGGTTTGGAAGTGACTTACCCATCCGCCGTCGACTACGCCATATCAGGAAGTCTACGCGTCTCTACCTAGTAAGTCAAATAAAGTGTCTTTCCACTGAAATCTGCTGCGAGTTTTGCAAAAAAGTAAAGCGGAATTATGTGTAGATAAGTGAGAAAGAATTATGTCTTTCAACGACATTTTGCTAAGAAGAGTTTTTGTGTGGATGCAGAACCCCTTTCCATATATGTGGTGAAGATACAGAATTTCGTATGTAAAGAAGTCCTGACGGTACAGCCGGGCGAATTTACGGCTGGAGAGCACCACAATGCTTGCAGCAATGCATAAAGAGTCCACCTGTCAATAGGAAGTGATTAAGGGATAATTGTGTATCATGTGTATTTCATGTCCACTCTATGGTGTGGCTGGTGGGTGGAAGGTGCAACCAGGTCTGCATGGTAGCCATTCTCTGATGTCAAGTTACCCGGTTCACAAATGTGACGCATTCGCGCTAAAGCACCGGATTCAAACGATTATGTTAACACACTCCGGGGTGGCCGGCTAAATGCCCTTCGTTCGGGTGGAGGTTAATTTGACCCTCCCGAAATATCAGAAAGAGAAGAGCTAGAAATACCAAATTCACAGGGTGAGTTGGCCCATACGTGCACTCACTTGTGTCAAAATTTGAATTCCTAGGTCTGGACCCACGGGTCAGATAAGGTCAAACAAGTTCGAAACCCAGATTGGTATCCAAAGTACCTTAAGACCGTCCATGCAACCACCGTGAACCTGGATACCTGTTTAAACAAACGGTCAATGGCATTCATTTAAGGTCAATGATCTTGCGTGACATTTTAAATGTCATGGTGGCTAAAATCACACAAAAGTGCTTTGATTTTTGCATTTCAATAAACGTTAAGGATTACGATAGTCAGTTTGTCCCTAAGAAAGCGTTAACCTGCGTCAGTTTAGGTCAATGACCTACTCTGACTTTAAAAAAGGTCATGAAAGATTGTAACGCAGCTCTTGTTATCTATAAATTCAAAATGAGAACCGCAAACCATCCCATACAGCAAGGTCTGGGTAATAAAACAGCTTGGTTTCGTCCCAGGTCTGACTTTCATACCTGACCTAATCTCCATGAAATTTGTTCACGCAATTGTTTTGTTGCCTAGGCAACTATCACAGAGATGCACGGCTTCGTCTAACACTTCGCTGTTCCATGACATTAAACGGTGCCCAGTAACTTGTCTTCGCTGAATCCATGGCCTGACTTTGACCTACCTTAGGTCATTGACCTTACGATGTATAGCAAAATTTTGAATGTGAGACTATTTGCTGTTCAATTTTTTATATTCGGGAAAAATTTGGCGCCGCTACGCCGCGCCGTTCGTATGTAATTCCGGACAACAACCTTCGAAGGGGCTAATTGACATCCCAACCGAGCGCGTGTTAAAGCATCATTCAAAAAGCATACTTGCCCGCAATATAACTTCGAAAAGAGAAATGTGCGGCATCTGATCCATTTAGTCTGGCAACCATTTCCATATTGGTAACAACAATTCAAACATTCACAGGATAGGGCCTCGCGCTTTACAGCATTTTGCGATACAAGATACAAGCCCCATTAGTGTCCATACCGGCGAATGCCGCGCGTTTCAGTTTAAGCGACGTTCCTGAAGAGCATCACTTCCTTCAGACAGACAAGTACGTATACAAGCCGGGACAGCTGGTCCGCTTCCGCGTCTTCTCCGTCGACTCGAACCTGAGGCCAATTTCGGAACCGGTAAGTTACACCGCAGGGTCGGGAGCCCCTGCACTGCGCCGAGGCCTCGCCGGTCCTGACCGGTGGTCCCGACCAATGCAAATAGTGTGTTCCCACCTTGTCCCTGCTTAGGAAAAGGTCCCTCGGAGCTCAGACCGACACGGAGCCGACTGTTCGGCGTTGGTGGTCTACGAACGAAATAGGGGCCCGCTTGTCCCAGGGTGTACCCGATCGGTGCAAGTTGGCTTTGGACTGACAGTTCATGGCCCGGCCCCGCCTTTGTGCCTTTCAATCGGGCATTTGATCGTCGGTCCCGAAGGGCTCTTCGGCTCCTCTGCGGGTCCTCGAGCGCTGTCTCAGGCCCACTCTGGTGTTCCTTGTCAATACCGACCCTTGTCAGGTGCCTCCCCTGACCAAGCAGTGGCCGCTGATTGACTTAATGGCCGCGAACAATGCAAATCGCGACACTTGACCCTGTCCCTGCTTGGGAAATGTGCCAAGGTCCCAGATCTGACCCTAAAGTTCAATCTGGTGACGAATCTTGTCACGGTCGCTAAGACTTCACCATAGGAATGTAGTTAAGCAAACTAGGGTTGGTGAAGCGAAGTGGGGAAAAAACGAACACCAGATGCACTAAAAAGCAGGGTAGTTCCCGGCTTTGAACCATTTCACTCTCAACGACGCCATGGAACTTGAGTCTCTTGTCCTTCCCCCTGCAGAAAAGGAAAGCACAGCCCGATCTAATGCGTTTGCTTGCCCTGTCTCGGCGAAAGTTGCTGTTGTTGGGAATCATTATAATTTTGTTTGGTCTCGATCTTTGAAACCAGGTATCGGTAATAGTTATAGAATTGATGGTATGCGGCTTAAGACGTTTTTGGATATGTACTCCTTGGGAGCAAAGATTGTAAGTTGATTTGGGCGACAAGTGACGTCTGCCATGGAAATCCCGGCTGATTGCCGCAAGGCGGGGTGCAGGCGCACCACCCCCGCTAGGCACGCTCGACATGGCCTGTGTTGGCAATCATAGTCGGACGATTACAGCTACCAGCCTAGCCGGTTGGCGTCGATCGTCACATCTTGGCAATTGCTTCGCCAAATATCCACGTTGAAGTGAAGGTCGAAACATTTTAAGGATTCCTCCGAATGAAGACGACTAGGAACTTGACCACGCTTTTGGGTGCAAGTATTCCACCGTTTTGTTTTTTATTTTCCGATAAGACGTCATAGCACATCAACGCTACTTGCTGCAGTCTGTATGGCTCAAAACATTACTGAATAATGTCAAAACACTCCCGCAATAGCACAAAACTGGACCATAGTAAGCAATAAATATAAATCGCGTGGTTAAAGGTATGCAGTGTGCAGAAAAAAACAACACAAAACTCGAGTCAACACGGTACGACCGCGGAGCTTTCAAAGTGTGACTAACTCAGTCAGGTGCACTAACTGGACAAAGTATAGCAGTTTTTGTTTTCTTTTATGGATATTTTGCCTGAGACACAATAAGTAGAGCATTCTTTAGATTTTGCATAGTTTGAGCTTCTTTTTGTAACGGGCCTTCATGTACTTGTACTTCTACATGTACATGTACATGTACTTCATGTACTTCATGTTCCAGAAAGTTGGGGGACCAAACTCACCATTGGGGGAGGGGGGGGGGAGCAGATTGGACATTGCGGGACAGGCAGTGGTCCACCCAAAAGAGTATAAGTCGACACCGGTGCGTACTTGTTTGTTTTCGTCATGAAACGTTTATATGACAAAACTCACTCGTAGCTCTTCAATCACCCAATACGTGGCAAGGCGTTACTGGATGCGCGCTGAACTAAATCTTGGGTACTCGCGTTCCGGGGGTCTTGCCATCGGGCCAAACATAATCGTTGCGCGCTAACATATTCATCCCTGAGTTTAAAGGGAATGTTCCAATTTGTATAGGATTTTGAGCCGAAATAGCCACCTTGAGGACGCTTTGATACAGTTCACGGTCATGTCCTTTTAAGACCCAAAGCGCTTCGGTTCCTGAGCCCGCCAAAGTTTGAAAAGGTTTATTGGGAGCCTACTTTAGCCACCTTGGCATTAATGACGTCGTAGAAACGTCATGCGATCGCAGCTATACTACAGGCTGCTTTCTGCTTATGGTCAAAACAGCATGACCACTGAAACATTCGCAAAAGCGATGATACGGCACGTATGATCAATGCGCGGAAGGGGATTGGCTGTTAGCAAGATCTCGCTGCTGAATGTGTGTCGCGAACGTAAGCGTGAACACTTTTGGGTTGTGTGGCACTCGTCGTGAACGGGGCATTTTTCCTCGGTCAGTGTTATAAAAAAGAACACCACTGTCTGCCGAAAAAGTTCGGCACCCAGAAAACGAGCATCCTCACGAATATAAAAAAGAAGACACGAGGGCAAATCTGACTTTGTTTCCCTGCTGGCGTTTTTATTCTTCTTCTGCTGGCGCATTTCGTACAGACAGCTCGGTTGCACGACAGCTCTGTGTACCGGATCACAGAACCTTGCACGGGCTTCTGGGTTAGCACGGCATTAATAAATTAGGGAAACATTACAGTGATTTTAGATACATCTTATACTCAATATTTCACACACGCACTGTACGACAAATTTACATCTTGAACAAAAAATTGTGCTCCACAAGTACGACCTCTTGAGCCGGATTACCGTGGCACCTCGTTGGGACATTGTTTTGAAGGGTGCTCACGGCGAAATGCGGTATTATGTTCGAAATTCTGTGCGGAACTTGTGAGGAAACGTGCAATTTTATAACTACGCGAGTTGTGCAAGTGTAAGAGCATTGCTGTGACATTATTTAAGTCTACTGATACCCAATGAAATGTGATATATCAATATTTGCCTCTGCCTTAATGGTTGTGTTTGAACATGGCAAGGTAATGTCGGCAAGCTAAGAGAAACACTAGGACTTATGTTGCAGATGTGTACAAAGACAATTCGGCATGTCATGATCTTGTCAAGATTTTAAACCTATTGATCTATGTGATTGCATATTGTCATTGCAATGTAATTAATATATTGCATGCCATTATATCAGCAATTTATTTTGGCAGCAGGGGCTAGTGCGCGCAGCTCATTAACGCACATGCTCAGTATAGGTTCACGTGATACGGCTTTGCAAAATTGTCCTTTCCTAAATAATTCTGTAAATATAACGCTGTATTATTAATGATGCACATTCTACTGTCTTAACAAATTTTGTATGCAGGCAAGCATTGCTTGTGAGTTATAAATGTCATAGTCACTGTAACTGCATGAGGTGCTGGGTGGTGAGATAGGTGGTAAAGTATTGCTGTTGGCGTCTTGGATAGCACTTAATATTTTCATCATGAGCCGCTTGTGCGCTGGCGGCTTCATAACTTCCTTGCATTTTGCCCATCCACCCATAAGTACATGCACTTATCATTTCTCCAGTCTCAGCATGTTTGCAGTGTCATTTCACCACATGTAAAATTTTCCTGCCATTTTTGTGTAAAGCAGCCTGATGGCTGCAACATGTTACATGGCTGTGAAAGTGCAAGACGTGTTTGCATCTTTGTCACCCACGTTTTGTGGGTTACCAAAACAGGCTGAGGAAGTGATGTCACTTATTGGTTGTTTGCTTTGCTGAAAGTGATTTCTATGTTGTGTCAAATGTTTTTGGTCAGTCATATGCCAGATGGGGAGTCAATACAAGAGTGCACGCTTAAGCCATCTTTTCGATGAAATTTATTATAAAAGCAGTGCACAATGTACCACGTTGGTTGACTACTCTATGGCAAGCCTATGAGACAGCAGCTTAGAATTTATGAATGGTTGGTAGGAACTGATTTAACAATGCCGAAGGGCTACCGACAGCAAGAATACCATTGCACTACATCGATTATATGAGGGTTAAATAGTAATTGCATAAATGATCCTAAGCAAAAAAAAAAAATATTGGTGCCCCAACTTCGCCATCTTCATCATAGCAATGACAATGCTTTGGCAATCAATTCATAGCAACGTAGCATATCTATCAATTTTCACATGACACCGCATTTCCAGTTATAAACAATAAAGAAAGTAACTACTGTGTGCATCACAAGATATCAATGTCATGACTACAGCACTGCAGGCAAGGATAGGTCAACA